CTGTTATCATAGATGTTCTGGATGGTTGTGTTGTCAGTGGGTGTTCGTTTATTGGAATGGTTACCGTATTATTATTATTTAAGTTGTAAACAGTATGTAACCATCAATGATTTACCCGATGATAGTCTGCCACTTGTAATATATTACAATTGCAAATGCATGTTAAGCACTGATGGAAATGGCGCGTACCAGTACGTTTTACGCCTTAATGGTATCCTAAGAGTTAAGCATTGATATCGAGTGTGTTCTCGAAGTGGGATCATGGTTGTGGTGTTGATATGTCCTGTCATCCATTTAGACTTCATTATTTTGGCATACGTTGCCGTTGTGTGATCACTTTGAACCTTCACTAATGCTTTTTTTTTAATGTATTTGGGGTGATGCTGAGTTGGAATTTATAACTGTGCTTGCTGCTGAAAGTGTCTGGGTGTATTTTTGGATTGCTATAGTTTATCTAGTTCGGCTAGTGGCATTTGATGCGTAGTGCGTCTTGATAGAGTTACTTAAATTAACCCTAAACGATTTAGATGGAGAGCGGTTGATACTAAATGTTTTTCCGCTATTGTATTTCGTAATTAGTATAGTTGGATTGGATATTGTATATGGAAATATACAACCAGTGTCAATGTGCATGCTGCTTGATGGATTACATTTGTAATGTTTCGGACTATATTTAGGCGCAGCTGAATATATGGAATTCCGTTGTAAGTGTTCGGATATTTTATTAATATTTATATAGTAGAGTATCAATATAAAAAATGGTGTCTAGCGCTAAATTGAGGATGAGTGGTGTTCTTATCAGTGAGTATTATTTGGTTTGGTTAGTGGTTCCTGCACTGATTGCTATAAGTTTTTCGTCGCAGGTGCTTTGTTAATGGTTTAATTACTGATTGTAGAATGGGTTCGTTTGGTCGTACAGAGGGGATTGTCCGTGGGAGAATATGGTGCGATTGGCTTTTGAGGGAAGCTCTCTTCCGATTGTTTAATTTTAATTTCTAATTGTCACAACAAGTGGTTGCATATTTGATAAGTATTCTAAGTGTTAGCAGGTTGATTTGCAATATTATTGCTACAGACATTGTTCTTTTGTGCGTGTGAAAGCTTGTAACATGGTCGCGACATAGTGTTTCAGAGCACACAGGAGACTGTTTCAACTTTCAAGGAATTTTAATACGGTGGTCGTTGCTCGAGCGCGAGTTTCTACCGGCAGATGTATCTAGAGGCAGCGGTTTTTCTATAGGTCCAGTGCTGTGACTGAGATGTGAGCGAAAGCTGATCTTCGCATTCGATGTCTCGCTCTCGTAAGTCTGTCTGTCCTTGGCTCTCGTTGCTGTCTCTCGTACCACTCTCGTGTTCACTTTTATCTTTGCGCGCTACCTGTCTTCACTCTTTTCCGAACCTCCAGCTTTTCCTGCTGGAACCCGCCGCTTAAAGGTGGGGGTCCGCGGACCGGCCATAGAGCCCATAGAGTTAAAGGCGGTGGCCGTTAGCTTTAAAAATCCATAGATTAGCCGCACCGTTATATAAGCCGCAGCGTCGAAAAATGGGAAAAAAGGCGCGGCTTATAGTCCGAAAAGTACGGGTATGTTTTAATATACTCTATTGACTTCACATATTTTTCACATAGGCCTATCTGACTCTGAAAGCCAGCTACGAACCTCACCGCACGGCACTGGTCTACATGAATAGAATTCTTCATCAACAGCGGGAGCCAAAACAGCATAGCATCCTGGTAACAGTAGTGAGGGCATTACAAAAAAGAAGTACAGCCGATCCTATTGGCTCTTTGCCAACGCAAGGGACGAATCATAAAACGGCTTATATGTGAGCTTTAGTGCTGGTTGGATGTCAACACGTGCACGAGGCTGCCAGCTCACCGATTCATTTTTCGATTTGTTAGGTAATGCGTAGGATATTCAAGTCAAGCGTAGCGGCGTAATTAGGGCCTGGAAATCGTATCTGCTACGCCAAAATCGTGTATGTTGGCAGCTCTGACACTGTATCAATGTGTTTGTTTAACTTTTTGGTTGTGATGTGTTTTATGTAAAAAATGTACCGCAACTCAAAAAGGTTGAAAAACAGTGCCATTGATCATTCACACTTGTTTTTACCTTAAGCCCCGCCTCCAATAATCACATATCGGCCGGCCCTGGCTCAGTCAAATGAACTGAGAGAATAACTCTGAATTCAGCTTTTAGCGCATTTACAACTTTAAGCACCTGATGATTATAATAAGGGCAATTTGAGTTAGCCGATCTCTAATAAATGTAAGTCAATAGGAAAAAAGCTTTTTGGGCCCAATTGCATCACAAACTGACACAGGAGTTGTAGTCCCGCGGTCTGGCCACGACAAACATTTGCTCCAATTGTCCACTTACTTCCTGAGGGCTTGCTTTAGTCTTCCTTTATGTATAATACACACGGTTCCGCCCCTTTGATGCTTGGCGGTTTGTGTATCTGGCGCTTGGGGTTAACGACCAACAACCAATAACATTAATCTCCCGCCCCGGACACACAAAGCACGCGGTTTGATTGGCTAGCGCTTGTACTGGCATATGATTTGATTGGCTGGCGCTTCCGTCAACGTTTGAAGTTGAACTCTTCACAACTTTCAGCGAGAGCAACGGAGGCAAAGCGAAGCAACGCAACCACAATGCAGTTCGGCAAAGCGTGACGTCACCCCATTCAAAGTGAATGGGAAGTGTCTCTGTTGAAGCACGTGACGGAACCGTGTGTACAGTCCATTAGAACCAGGAAAAGTGTGAAAGAGCTAATGGAGGAAGATAGCTCGAGGGACTCCATGCTGACAGAAAGAGATGTTTCAGAGCATGGGGTAACATCATGCAGAAAGGGAGGACTCACCACGCCCTCCTCCGCCGGAGCGTTGTCTCCCACCACCAACATCGCAGGACACCTACATAAATATCAATTACTCTCAACATCTTCTTTTCTGCCTCATTCTTTCACTATCAGACTATTCACACAATGCACACAAAGTCATACTCCTTTCTGCACATATTCTGATTTCACATTTCATAGTTTATATGCAAAAATTCATTCATAGCATTCTATTTCCATTTAAATTACAGCTTTATTTAAAGGTGACCTATCATGCAAAATGCACTTTTGTACGTCTTTTATACATGAATATGTGTCCCCGGTGTTCCAGGGAACTCACCAAGTGTCAGAAAACACAACCCTCTCTATTTTCCTCCATACCCAAATCTCTTAAAAAGAGGCTGCAACGGATCTGATACAAATGATCCAGATTTGAACACTTCTATGACGTCACAGAAGTGGCGCTACGGCTATGGTCCAACTCCACCAATAAGGAGGAGTACAGCCACGGACATTGCCGTTCGAAAGCGCTGGAGACGCTGTAGTACATATTTCAGGCCACCAGATGGTGCTGTTTTCACTGAATCCGAGCATGAAAGACAGTGTTAAATTGAGAGAAATGAGGAATGGCTAAAATGCGTGATCTGTTTGGTATTTTGAAAAATGAAAAGTATAAATATGCCTTATAGGTATGGTCCTACACTATATTATTCAAATATAGCATGATAGGT